ATGTATCTAAAACCACACAACTTTTTTTTACAGGAATGGGGCATTCGCCACATCACTGGAATTCCACACTCCCCTACAGGGCAGGCGATCAGTTGAGCGTGCCCATCAAACGCTAAAGCAATTGCTAATTAAACAAAAAAGGGGGAGTCTGGAAGATCCACCACAGGAACGACTGTGGAAAGCCACTTTTGTTTTGAATTTTCTAAACAGAGACAACACTGAAATGACACGAGTGAATCGACATTTCGGAGCTTCCCCAATGTTCAAAACATGGCCAATGGTCCATATTCGTGATATGGCCACTGGACAGTGGGAAGGCCCCGTGCCATTGATAACCTGGGGGCCAGGGTATGCTTGTGTTTCCGCAGGAAACGGTCCCAAGTGGATACCAGCACAATTCATTCAACCACATCTAGAAGCTGAGCAGCACGAACAATCATCAGAAACAACAAAGCAGTGAATCTTTTCTGCTCACAAAAGTGTCATTGGTTCTAATGTTATAATGGTTATGTTATGTTTACCATGTTTGTTTAAAGCATAAATCAAGTCATGTATGCTCAAATGCACACTGTACTTGCCTTACAAAGTATGATGACTTATAGTAGTATTAATAGCATAGGTTCAATGTAGTCATTAAGATGTAATCTGTACATTAAACAAAAAAGGGGGAGATGTGGGAGAACAAGGGGTTAACAGGATTGTGGAAGAAGCAGAGACCAGGAGAAGAAGCAGGAACAATGGCAGAAGATGGCCCTTAAGCATCTCCGGACCTGTAAACAGGACCTGTAAACAAGGCCTGGCGCCCCTGACTGATGGAGGGGAATTCCACCTGCCTGGCAATTGGGGGGTTGCAGGGGAGTGTCGGTTGGGAAAGAATAGACACTGGTACTATATAAGCTGCTTGTTGGTTATAATAAACGATTCTGGTTGTATCACCGACCGGGGTCCATGCCTTCATACGCTACACATTAATACTATGTGTGGATTTTAATGCATTTTGTGATTAAAGGGGAAGCATAGGGAGTATAAGTCCTTCTGGGCTAAATGTCTATTATGCCTCTAATTTCACTCGTCTTTATGACTCAGCTGATCCCTTCCGTTTCTATGGCTGTTCTCTATTTACACAGATAGTTCATAACTTTCAGCAATACACAGTAAATTGCTAGCCCTATGAAATTAAATTTCAAAGTTAACTTCAAGTCATATCACTAGGTTTAAGGTATTAGCAGATGGAAGCTGAGCAGTTTTGACAAATACATTGAGATTAAACTTAGATTGTAAATAAAAAGATTACTTCAACCTCATGACTTAAAGTAATGCTTTCAGAAATTGAACAGATGACTGAAAGACAAAAGACAACATTGTCATATAGTGTGTTTGTCCATAAAAATATGGAGCCCTGTCCTGCCATAAAGATTACAGGACTGAAGCTCAAGATATACTCACTTCAATGTAAAGATAAACTTAGGTTTGCAGATGGCTTATAAGGAAGATATGGTGTATTTGTATTTCCAAATTGTCAGCCCCAAGCTATCAAAGCCTTAAATCTGTTTTGAGTAATTAAGAGGAAAGCTGTATGAAGTTAGCTCATTTTTCCAGGTTTTTGTTACCTATTAAAAAGTACACACTGTAACAAACTTAGGACAAAATGTGTAGGTTAAATTGTATGACTAAAATTTAAGAAAAAAAAAAAGATTAAAGAAAGAGAAATAGGTGAAATAAGACAAAGCACATTAACTACGCTTTGACTTAATCAACTAATTGTTTTATAATAAACCATTTTTTTTAATGTCTCTGTAAGGAATATTGTGGCAGGGACCTGAACACATCAGCAGGCTCTGTAACCCTCTCTCTGTAACCCCTCTCTGCAATCTCTTCCCCTCACTGAGTGTTTGACTGCTTTTATTTAAGGCCAGCTCACTTTCTCTTGCAGAAAGGCCGACCCTTGCTGCTCCCTGGCAGGTTATCTGCCATTTCCTCTTCCACATGTTATTAGTGCCTCAAAATTGTATCTCCTCTTTTTAATAAAAATAAATGCAAATTCCAGAAAGTTCTTTTGTAGGTCTCACAGTCAAGTTAACCTAAATAAACTGGTCAAAATCTTTTTGAGAGTAAGAGCTAATAATAACCCATGGTAGAGGTTTGCAATAAATTATTCTCCTCTGTCTCTCTGAAAACACAGAAAAAGCTGTGTTTGGAAGAAGAGATCAGGTTTACTTCAATAGGGTTTGCCAAAATAGATTGACAGCAGATTTCAGTTACCTTCTAAAAAGTATTTATGAATCTTCTGTTAAACTTGCCAGTTCTCTGGTGTCTGTTTATATATTAATTTCTGCATTACTAAAGGCAGATAATTTTTCTATTTTTAACCAATTTTTGACAATTAGACTCATATATGAAACCCTGTAACACAATACTGGCAAGTCTGTGTCCACAGTTAAAACTTGTTAAATTTCTTGAGATTTATGTAGTACACATATACCTAAACACTGTAGATCATCTCATCTGTTAAAACATAGTTCCAAAAAATATTCAGGTTGAACTCCTTTCTAGCTTCCTGTCAGTAACTTGTTATGTTTCATTATAAGTAATAAAAAATGCATGAAATTAATTTCATTTCAGTTTTGAAAAAAAGCAATTCAACGTTAAAAGGTCAAAATCAATCCTGATTGATATATTGCAAGACACTTTGCTTTGTTTGCTTTGAATTTCATAATCTATAGCGTTCATACTCCAATAGTGATGGAAAATGTGTTAGACTCTTACTATTTAGCTGCGAGAATGTGTGTGGATGTCAGGCATAGTGCAAAGCTGTCATTCTGTACTGGAACAATACCAGAAGAATGTGTGTAGGACTGGGAATCGTGAGTTAGAATTCCGGCTGTGCCATTTGCTATTGCCCAACCGAGCCAGATCATTTTTCTGTTTCTAGTTTCCTCTATTTAAAATGCACACAATAAAATTTGTATTCACCTTTATTGTTTGTCAATATTTTACAGAATCTTGACTCATAAAGTAGTATGGGATTATGAAATGTTATTGCATGCTGTACCAATGCAGATTATGCAGCTGTTTACAACACCACAACTTCAACCATTTTGCTTATTTATAGATCTAAGATGTTGAAAAAGTACAGCGGGTTTCCACCCAGACAGTACATTTGGAGCATGATACGTATCCAGTAATACTTTGGGAAGGATTTAGGGGCCTAACTTTGTAGTTTTAGAACAGATTGTCAGAATTAATTTTTTGGTTACCTCTGAAAAAAATAGATAATGCAATACTGAAAACACTGGACACAGAACTACAAAGACATTGTCGAACTCCTACAGTAATATACTCTACCAACACAGAGATTACTTAGGGTTCATATTTGAGGATTTAGTTCAATGTCATTCTGAACAGAAAATTTCATACAAACAAATGTTTTATTCTCACCCAAAGTATTTTCATCCCATTTCCATGTGCCTGATGCTCCTCCCAGAAGCAATTTCTCCTGGCATAAATAGCTCTTACAGAGCTGTTAGTTATTAGGCTCATTTAAAGGATAGATAATTGAGAAGAATGAGTACTGTCCAGGTATTGAAATGCCTCTAGATACTTTGTCAGATGGTCTTTAGAAACATAGCTAGTCATTATCATCTCAATAAGATGGTTTTGGAGAAAAAAGTATAGCAAAAGCACCTCAGTGTGACATGGTGAAATATTAATTTATTTACTCTTGAGTTAAACCCATAAAATAGTTTTAAGGCTTACCTTAAGAGTGAACCATAATTGTGAGCAAAGTTTACATTTGTAAATACAGAACATATTTGTTTATCCTGTTAACAGTCAACATATGGTATTGGTTAATACTAATTTTAATACAGGTATGACTAATAATACAGTATTTGGTATGACCTTATTCAAGTGAAGTACATAATTACAAAGAAAATATTAAATTATTTTCAGAGAGAAAATGTGGAGCTACCACTAAAAGGAGCTACAATGCTCAAAATGTATGGGTCTTCTAAAACTGTACTTTGAGTTATATATCCCCTATTTCTAAATAACAGCTTCATATATAGAAGCTCAGAATGAAAACAGAGCAAACATATTTAATTACTAATTAACTACTTTCTTTCTAAGTGATGAAAAAAAATGAAATTGAAAACAGATAGAGAGATTCTGTAAATTCTGTAGTAGAGCTGCAGTGAATAATGAAGAATATATGACTTTCTAAGTAGCCAAAATGTAAATACCCCACAAATGTAGTTAACTCTTCTATTTCTTAGTTTTCTAGAGGAAGGAATGCACATAGAATCACACTATTCTTTCTGTGCTTCATTTTCAAACTTTTTCTTTATCCCTCTCCATTTCATACCTTTTAGCTATTTTTTTTTCTTTTTTTTATTCTTATGGTAGTAATTTGCATAATTTGCGGAATTTAGGTAACACTTTTATCTAGATGTATTAGAACTTTTAGTTTTTAACATTATTAGAATACCTAATGATTTCTGTAATAGAACTACAGTTTACTTTTAACAGCCATGGTAGGGGGTGGAGGAGATCCTCACAGAACTGACCAGACCTCAGTACAATGAGATGTGTTTAGTGTATTTCCTCAGATCATTCAAATATTGAGAAGGCTGTTATTGCAAGAAAAACTACACCAAAACCAATCAGGTAAAATGACAGCAGCTTTTAAATTCACCTGATAAACATATTGTAATTACTTTTTATTTTCCAATTGAACCCTTGTTCTCCTTATGCCGTTTTCTTCTTTTAAATAGCCTATGCGTTTTGATTTGAGTTTTTTTGGAGATCAAGAGGGAATCTTTCACTTGTTATGACCTTTTTTCTGACACTGAATGTGTTTTCCTTTTGGCTTAAACCTGCATGTAGTAATGAAAATATTGTGCTTTGGGATGAAATCAATAGGATTTCTTTTGTTTGCTTTATGTTGTTCTTCCGTATGCTTGTGTAGGTTGCATTGAATACAATTCTTTGGGTTAAATAATCTGTAATTTCTAAGACACTGAAGCTGCTTTTCAATCATAGAATCACAATATCATTTACGTTGCAAGGTACCTCTGGAGGTCATTTTGTCAAACCACCTGCTCAGAGCAGGCTTACCTTCAGTACTAGATGAGGTTGCACAGCGCCTTGTACAGTTCAATTCTGAAAAACTCCACAGCCACTTTATAATCACACAACCTGTTCCAATTCCTACATATCCTTATAAATTTTTGTTTTTCTTGACAGACAGTAGAAATTTCCCTTGCTACAAATTGTGACTACTGCCTATGGTCCTTCTGCTGTGCACCTCTAAGGGAAGTTTGGTCCACCTTGTCTACAGTCCCCTTTCAGCTAGGTGAAGAGTCACTACTCTCATCTTCAGGCTAAACAAACCCTGCTGCCTGAGTCTCTCCTCAGATCCTGTATCAGTTGCAAATAAATATCAGGGTTTGGAAAAACAAAGAAATTTTTGTTTTCAGTTGCCAAGAACTTTTTTTTTGTAGCTTGATAGTGTAATAAAAGTTGAATACAAGTTTACTACCCTTCATCGGAAGTCCACGAGATGGTGCTAGAGAAGGACGGCTTCAAGTTGTACCTTATTAGCTGCTTTCGTCCTTGGTACTAGTTAGCCCATGTAATTTGTCAGAATCAATGAACAGAGAAGCTGGTAGAGAATCTGCTTCTTTACAGCTATTCAAATATACATGGAATATGAGAAGTCTTGTTTAAAACACACAAACATCGGAGGAATTTAGTGTGCCTAGTGTGCCTAGACAAATCATGGGCAAATAGAAACAAAACCAAAATGACATTTAAAAAATCTCTGTTTATACATATCTTTTACTTCAAAGCATGCCATGTGTTTCCAAAAGCAGCAACACTTAAGATAAAATACTCTTCCATCTAAATCAGTGGATATCATTATATCTATCGTAATGACAACATCATCACATCATCCCATCTAAGAAAAAAGGGGCCTTGACTTCAGGCTGTGAGGGAATGGAAGGGTGAGAACTTCACACCAGGGAAGAGGCATAAATGAGACTTTGTCTATATTGATGTGTTGTGTTTCTAATGATCCTGAATAGAAAATGTGTGACTAAATTTGTGACTTGGATTACTTAAAAGTTTTAGTACTGTTGCAATTGACTAATGCTAGATTGTTATATTTTGTTTAGACTGTAAGTGCATTCATTGGGTTAACAATTTCTAATTCTCATTTCTAGTTCTTCTGGCTAACCATACTGAAGGTGGTATGTAACATGGTGCATACCAGGCACATATTTCAGGGCAAGCAAGGCTGGCTGCCAGTCTCTTGCTTCAATATATGACAATTGTTATGAAACTCACACTTTAATGTAGTCATTCTTTTACCAGTCTTCAGTGTTTTTTTACTGTAATGACCATTCCTTTCTCCATGATTGGAAGAACTCTGGTTTCCTGAAAAATTAGCACAAAGATCCTAAGAAGATACGATTCCCTTTTTTACATACATTACTTTGGCTAGCTTTTGTCAGATTAACTAACATAACAATCACATTCTTTCTAGTTACTGAAGTTCTTCTCACAAGTTTTACTCTAACCAGTCAAAATAACGGTCAAAGTACTAGAAGTCATATATGGAGAATACTGGAATTAAATTGTTCTGCAGCAAACAGAACACGCTATTTTCTTTAAAGCACAGCTTTTGAAGAGGAGAAAAATAAGAGTAAAATATTTGCATTAGTATTTTACTGATTATCACATCTGCTACGTAACAGTTAAAGAATATCAGTACTGTTTTGAAAATAAACTACAAAATAGTAATTATATTTCATATTTAACTGTTAGTCATATCGGATAAATGTTTTTTTTATTTTAAGTGTTAGAGGCTATATTTTTCTAAAAGACTCACTGACCTTCATTTCCTATTTTTAAATAGCATTTCTACGTGCTTTCCACCTCACAAAATAAAAACATGTCTGCCACTCATGAGACACTCAGATTAGTGGGAATTTGAACATGTCAGTTTGAAGAGTTTGTATGAGTAAAATAAGAAAAGGAAAGATTAGGATCCACATATTGCAAACTCGTTTTTCTATGAACATTTATAATGTCAAATGACATTTTTATCTTATAGCTCAAATCCAAAACTTTACAAAGATACCACTGCTGCTTGCCATAAGAGCTTTCCATAAAACAATTTAGTTCTAGTGTAATGTATGCTGAAGTCAATATCTAGAGTTTGGGTTTTTTTTCTTCTCACTGACATCACTGCACTCTTAACAGATCCAGAAGTTGTAAGTATCATTTAGGGAATATTCAAAAGCTCTCTTCTGTTCAGTCAGTGCTGGAAATGACAAAATGATTTTCACTATTTGAATAAGACAAGAAGCCCAGCAGTGAAACTCCACACAGCGAGTACAGGGAAAAAAAAAAAATCTTTTAAGGTCTCACAGACCTTTGGAGTTTGGTCTGTTATAGATAATTGCCGTACTGTAACTTGCATTGATGTGCTTAGCTGACCTATTTCAGGTATGCATTGTTTATTATACTTACACAGAACAATTCCTGCAAGTGCTGAGTGGATTGCTTGTTGTTCCACTGCAACTAGGCGGTAACCTCTTGGCATAGGTACATGATGTCTATCATTTATACACAAATATGCCCAAATGACTTGCATCAGCAAAAATTGCCACTAAATCACAGTGGGACTCCATGTGGAGCAGTGGAGAACCAGACCTTTTACATCCAATGATCCTGTGTACGCTTTTGGTTTGTATCCTCTTGTATTTCAAACATTTGGTGCCTTGCAGAGTATGGTCTATGGACTTCTAAGTGTCAGCGTCTTCCATTTCATGCTGACAGAACCTGTTGCTAGAAGACAGGTTCTCTTACTGCTCTTCCAGTTTATCCAACATAAGCACACAGTGTTTATTTTATTCAGTCATTTTGAACATCGGATTATTTTTCAGATGTTGTTCTGCATGCTGCTTTGCAGGTTAACAGGTGATTGCATTTCCTTCTGTGATTCAGAGAGGGAAGCCAGTATGTCAGGGTAATTTTCTGCCTTTGTTCACAGGCATCTGTTACACCCCATCATTCAATGTGCCTCCCTTCCTCCGCCAGCCTGGTGGGAGTCTGGTGCTCTGGGTACATTTTCTTAGGGAGCTGCTGTGCTGGAAAGATGGTGAAATTGCATAATGGAGTGCATGGGCTGAGTTGGAGCTGCAGGGGCAGAGAGATCTTCTGTTTAAAACCTTCAGCCTCTTCCTTTGTTCTCACTTAGACCTGAGACACCTTTTCTACTCCTTCCCCAAAGTCAGTCAGTCAGTCAGTCAGTCAGGACAGGCACATGTGCATTTAATAACTTCTAAATGTTTTCTTCTCGTAAGAGATATTTTTTAAAAAGTAAAATGTTTACCACATGGAGAACTAGGTAGTGGTTTGTATTTCATATCCATGTATGCTTCCTCCTTTTTCCCCTGTATTCAAATATCCCCTATGTATTTTTCCCCTTCCAGAAGAATTCAGTTCCATAAAACCGTAATTGTGCAGGTAAGACAAAAAGAGACTGATCAGTTAGTATGTTTTTCAAACTTAGCCTTTCTCTTGTCCTGTTGAACGTATGGAAATAAAGGACGTTATTCATGCAAAATAATGACTTAAGAAATTATAAAAAAGTAAAAAATTAAGCCAAAATGGAAATAGGTTGACCTCAATGTTCATTCTCTTATCTGTATGGACACTTAGGCCACTGGAAGGGAGGGAAGTTACTTTTCCTGTAAATATGACACCCTAAAGTAAAAATTTTTGTCCTCGTTGAGTTCTTCGTTTTCCCGCTTGCGAATATCAAGGGAGTCATCATTCACACACAGGTAGTAACTTCTGTCTTCATAGCACTGGAACTGCACTGAATCTCCTTGGTAATGCATGATGAAAAAGTTATTATCTTCACTCAGCTATGAAAATACACAAAGTAAAGGTGATAAGTTATCTCTTTAAAGCCTCCATGTGGAGCAGTGGAGAACCAGACCTTTTACATCCAATGATCCTGTGTACGCTTTTGGTTTGTATCCTCTGGTATTTCAAACATTTGGTGCCTTGCAGAGTATGGTCTATGGACTTCTAAGTGTCAGCGTCTTCCATTTCATGCTGACAGAACCTGTTGCTAGAAGACAGGTTCTCTTACTGCTCTTCCAGTTTATCCAACATAAGCACACAGTGTTTATTTTATTCAGTCATTTTGAACATCGGATTATTTTTCAGATGTTGTTCTGCATGCTGCTTTGCAGGTTAACAGGTGATTGCATTTCCTTCTGTGATTCAGAGAGGGAAGCCAGTATGTCAGGGTAATTTTCTGCCTTTGTTCACAGGCATCTGTTACACCCCATCATTCAATGTGCCTCCCTTCCTCCGCCAGCCTGGTGGGAGTCTGGTGCTCTGGGTACATTTTCTTAGGGAGCTGCTGTGCTGGAAAGATGGTGAAATTGCATAATGGAGTGCATGGGCTGAGTTGGAGCTGCAGGGGCAGAGAGATCTTCTGTTTAAAACCTTCAGCCTCTTCCTTTGTTCTCACTTAGACCTGAGACACCTTTTCTACTCCTTCCCCAAAGTCAGTCAGTCAGTCAGTCAGTCAGGACAGGCACATGTGCATTTAATAACTTCTAAATGTTTTCTTCTCGTAAGAGATATTTTTTAAAAAGTAAAATGTTTACCACATGGAGAACTAGGTAGTGGTTTGTATTTCATATCCATGTATGCTTCCTCCTTTTTCCCCTGTATTCAAATATCCCCTATGTATTTTTCCCCTTCCAGAAGAATTCAGTTCCATAAAACCGTAATTGTGCAGGTAAGACAAAAAGAGACTGATCAGTTAGTATGTTTTTCAAACTTAGCCTTTCTCTTGTCCTGTTGAACGTATGGAAATAAAGGACGTTATTCATGCAAAATAATGACTTAAGAAATTATAAAAAAGTAAAAAATTAAGCCAAAATGGAAATAGGTTGACCTCAATGTTCATTCTCTTATCTGTATGGACACTTAGGCCACTGGAAGGGAGGGAAGTTACTTTTCCTGTAAATATGACACCCTAAAGTAAAAATTTTTGTCCTCGTTGAGTTCTTCGTTTTCCCGCTTGCGAATATCAAGGGAGTCATCATTCACACACAGGTAGTAACTTCTGTCTTCATAGCACTGGAACTGCACTGAATCTCCTTGGTAATGCATGATGAAAAAGTTATTATCTTCACTCAGCTATGAAAATACACAAAGTAAAGGTGATAAGTTATCTCTTTAAAGCCTTTCTATAGTGTTTCATGTGACAAAAATTCATGTATGTTGCTGGCTTGTTGTATTTTGAATGCTTTTCTCCAGTGACATGTATTTACCAGTTTTTATGATAAATCTTGGAAACACCTTATCATTTTGTGCAGGTTCTGTGATAACTATGAATAAAATAATACCTGTCTCCCTCAAAGGACCGAGTATGTCCAGACCCATAGCTGCATTCCTTTGCTTCAAAAAAAAAGGCCAGCAGCTTTCCTCTGCAGTACACCTGTTATTGGGACAATTTAGGGTTTTCGTCTGGTTATTTTCTTACCACAGACCTACCCTGTCAACAGCCACTAAAAACAAAATGTCAATCTACAGTTTTTCTTCCCTCTTTTGGAATAAAATTAGAATGTTACAGTACCATAACTATTCTATTGCCTATGATTTTTCATACATCTTCAGTTTTCAGTACGCTTTTTGAAAGATCCATTTTTGGAGGAATAGCTATTGTCAAAACAGTCCGTCTGTGTGTGTGGATGTGTTTGGGCTCTCCAGAGATCTCAGAGTGAGGATGGACAAACAGCGACCAGAAGACACCACACCAGAAAGTGGAAGAGTGTGTGCTGGGAGACAGTCTCTGAAACCAGAAGCCCTGGAGACTAGTAGCCCTGTTAAATCTGCAAAAAATGATACTGGGGGCACCAAGCAGGTGCTGAACCTGCCCGAGGCCTCCAGCAGTCACTGGCACCCACGACGGGTCACGTAACCCACAACACATCCAAGGTGGCAGCGGCTGCTGTAGGTGGGCAAAGGCTCCAGGGCAGTGTGTGTTAGCACACCTGCTGAAAGCACCCAGCAGGGCTGCCCGGAAACCCCTGCAGGGCCCCTGCTCCTCAGCCTGTGCACTCAGTGAGGGAGTCACTGGCAAGGCTGTGTGAATTCTTATCTGCTGCTAATAGTAAGAGCTTAATCAGTGAAAGGTTCAGATTTCTGTTTTCCCCAACACACCCTCTTGTCAGGGAGCAGGGAATTTATAGTATCTTTTGCAGAAGACTGAGATGGTAAATGAATGCATAACAATCAAGTGATCTTTTTGAACCCTCTCCTCCTACCCACATGGGACTTCTATAAATCTGACTAGTCTGGTGTACTATCAGGGTGCACAACGCTTAAGGGGATCTCTAAATTTAAATTGACGGCTTGGGGGAAAGGCAGAAGGATATTAAAGGATCCCAGCTATGCTGGAGATTAAAACACTGGCAATAACCACCTATCTGTGGAAGGAGGAATGTGTCCTTTTAGACCGTGTGACAACAGGGCGTGGAAAGAAAATGTCCTGCAGTTATTGCAGAGTACGTGAAAGAAACTTCCGGATACGCCTCCTGTATTGGCAAGGCTGTAATGGGAAGAGCTAAAACTTTCTGTCCTAACAAGCTGGTGTAAGAGCCAAGTATCTGCAGCTGCAATCAAAAAATTCTGTTTTAAGAAATACTATTAAGAAAGTTGAAAACAATTTTTTTTTTAGAAAATAAATACCTTCTAGGGACTCAGAAGTGTAATATGGAAATACAAATGGAATGAGAGAATCCAGTGACTTCAGCAAAGAAAAAAAAATAAAAACAAAACCAAAAAAAACCTGCAGAAGCAAGGAGAAGGATTAATGTGTACAATGCAGAAATTCACCCTAGAGCAAGAGAGGCTCCAATGGGATCTGGTAAATGTGAAGCCAAAATCTGGTGCTTGCAAAAGCAGAATGAGATACGAAAATAAAAGATACCTGCTGTATGTGCAGGAAATGATGGAAAATTAGATGGACATCCACCACAGAGAGATGCTATTGCTATTGGGGATGCTATTGTGTGATAGGGAGAAGAAAGAGGAGTGGGGAGTGGAAGGGTATCCAAACACTGCTAGGGCTGGGAGTTGCAGCAGGTCATTGAAGGAGCTCTTAGAACAAGGTGTTTTGGAAGAAATCCTGGCACAGATAATTTTCTATTATGGCCTGTTAAGAAGGCTGATAAGCAAAACTGGAGAATATGGTTTGGACTACTGACAGATGAAATTCATCCTGAGGACAGCTCCAACGGGAGTAGGCATGCCTGAGAGAGCATTTGCAAGTTCCAAGAAAAAAAAACAGTTCTAGAGCTGACTTGTTTTTTTTTTTTTTTGCCATTGCACCAAATGAAGAACTAATATGTAGGTTAGGCTTCACATTTAGTGAGAAAAAAATACACCTTTACTCATGACTCATAGGTGATTCACAACACACTTGTGATAGCGTATATAGGCTCATGTTAGGAAAATTATACAAATGTTGTCTCCACAGGTTAAAGAGAAAAATATTGTCTTATGGAACAAGACAGTGATAGATAGGATCCCTGTGGATATCTATGGATAAGACAGTGTAGCTCCATCAGTGACAGGAGCTGCAGAGAAAGATGTGAGAGAGTACTATCCAAGTTTTAAAATAAACAGACTCAAAATGATTTAAAGTCAGATTGACTAAGGCACAATGAGTCCCAGGCTAAGTTCAACTGCTGCACTCTATACCAGGAAGAAACTAAAAGATAAGAAGGAACACATATGAAGGCTACTTGAAACAGAAGAAAATACCTTACCTTGCCATGGCCTGTTACACAAGGAGTATAGGGCACACTACAATCTACATTTTGCTTCAGATTAAACAAGGAAATGCGTACATGATCAAAAACTGCATGAGTCATAAAGTGATGATAAGCAAACTTGTAAAAATGAGCTGTGAGTACAATTGTATCAAAGAAGCTACAGACCTTGGGAAGTATTACAAATAAGTTATATGGCACTTGGGATTTGTTTTGGCTGTGGCTAAGCAGTGCACACACAGCATCAAGACCACCTCTTCTTCTCAGGCTACTCCACCAAGTAGGCTAGGGGTGGGCAAGAGACTGGGAAGGGACACAGCTGGGACAGCTGTCCTGGACTGACCAAAGGGGCACTCTATGCCATATAATGTCATGGTCAGCCATAAAGGCTGGAGACTGGAAGAAGAGGGTGGGATTTTTTTTTTTTGCTCTTGCTATTCTCTTCCCAGTTCCACTGGTGGGGAGTAGGATTGAGTGAGTGGCTTTGCATGCTGGGTGTGAAAAAGGACTGCAGTGGGTTGACCCCAGCTGGCAGCCAAACACATTAAACATGGCATTGGCATAACTGATACAGTCCAAAGTTCTGAACCAAGATAATTCTGTGGACCTCGCTTGCCAGATTTTTCCTGTTTGGAGTTTCATTTTCTTTATTTTGGCCTATTTAACTGCAGTAAAGAGTAAGTCTCTCAGTAAGACCTCACGTGACTATATAGCTAACCTCTGACTTAAACTGTGTCTGTCCTGCTTAGCTTCATCTAACTACTCAACAAAGTAGAGAGGACCCTAGAATAAAAACTTAAAAAATTAAGATCTCCAAGATCTTAATGGATCTTGGAGAGTTGTGGCCCCTCAATCTCAGTCCACCCAGGCTGGGGAATTTCAGGCAAAGTTTTAGGAAAATGCTATTGAGTTATAATAATCTAATAACACTGCATTATCCACCAAGGGACAACAACTTGAAGAGGAGTAGCCAAATTTAGTGATAGAATTGTTGATCTTTCAAGATCAGAAAGAATTGTGATCTTTCAAGCAAATCCGTTAAGTCAAGAAGGAATTTAGGAGGGGTATCAACGGAGAAAGGAAAGAGAAAGGAAGGTTTGAAACTGAGGGAAAACTGAGTGCTACTAGTACTTAATTAGAGCTGAGAGGGTTAAGTATACATATGCAAAGGACTGAGTGTGATTATGTATGATGAATAGTAAAGTATTATGGTTGAACCAGAACAGAAATTACACTGAAGGGAGATACTACAGATCTGTATGGCAGGAGATGTGTACTTCTCTGATAAGCAACATACGATCACTATAGCCTGCACTTCTGGAAGAGTGAAAAAGAAATAGTGAAAATTTTATACATAATTAATGAATATGGTAAAATAAGAACATTAACAGAGAATGTGAACAACTCCTCTTGATAATTCCCCCCTCTACTATTTGTTCCCCCTGTACTCCCTGTTTACCTGCCTGTGTCTCAAGGACAGAGGACCAGTTTTGACACTACATGACTGCATAATTTTGGTCGAGACTTCTAAGGAAACTGCTAATTTATAAGACAGCCTGCAAGAAGATAAGAAAGGCTTGAAACAGTAACAGTCTACATGAGAACTCCTGGTCAAATCTAGCCAGTAATGTCAACAGTGAATGTAAAATAAAATTCATTTCAATATCATAAGGCATTCTGGGTTTTTTTGAGAAATTACTAGGATTACCACTTTACTGTCCAAGTGACGAAGTTTGTAAACGTGATCTTACTTGTGCTACAAGAAACCATATTGGCTAGTGGGAGAATTATATAAAGGGGTGGGAAACATCCCATCGTTGTCAACATGTGTGGGGACATAGTTGGGAAAAACTTTTCTGTGGTGGATCTAAAGAAAAATTCTACTCTGTATGTCTTAATTCATCCTTTTGTGTGATCAACTGCATTTTCTTGTATGATATTATTAATTATGATAAGAATGTTCTATTATAGAGTTAGATAATTACAGTTACAAGTAAATGTAAGCCTGCTCCTGAGTGAGCTGCTTGGGTTGACCTCTCTGCTGTGGCTCCAGCTGGACCACTGGGAGCATGACTGTGTGTATGATGCAGTTTTCTGCTCTTGCCAGCACAGAGTTGCCATAAATATTGCTTGTGATCTCTGTTACCTTCCGAACTTAAACCCCTGTCAAAATAAGATACTGATGTAAGCTATTATTTGTTACAAGCTGTTACTGTTTTATTGTGATAATAACAGCCTAGTTAATACAAGATGTTTTAATAAATATTGATTGTGAGCGTCGTCTCCATAAGCCTGGGCTAATGAAATGGAAATTTAATATTTCTAACATTTGCTGCTGATATAAGAGAGGGTCCACAGATTCTCATGTTTCTGGTAATTCTACTGGAATTCTTCCAATAATAGGAGGAAAATGCCTGTCTTAAAACTTGCTGTTAAAAGCTAGCAGACTAAACATCACATCACAGCATCACATAGCTTTGTCATTGGCCATAAGAAGTATTTCTCCATCTCAGTCAACTACTCACACACTTTTTCATCCTAAGGACAGTGGCAAATTAATTCATCTCACCAGAAATTATTTCCTGATCAGTGCACTCATTCTAGAAGCTTTATTAAGAAATTCATGATTCAGATCTGACTATGGTTTCGCCTCTTGGCCTACCTGGATGTGGTTCAAGTGCAGGCTGCTATTTTTTCCTCACACAGATGCGCAACTTTATTTTTTTTTTCCTACTTGAAGGCATCAGCAAGAAACCATTATGAGTAGATCGCTATCTGTCTTGTTAGGTAATGAATTCTCGGAAAGAATGTTTCCTTTTAATTATCTGTTTAGAAACCCCGAAAGATTAATAGGTCTCTCTAGGCAACTGTTACACCTCTTCTTTCCAGCTGTCCTCTAAAACTTGCAGCTATCAAGACAGTAATTCTTTCTCTGTGAACAGCTCCATAGGAAAAGGCATATCTTTTTCTAGGAAAAAGTGCATGAAATAGATTTTAGAAGGCGGCGATATGACTGTGACAATTTATATCATACAAGGAGGGGACTAGAAGTGGCCTTCTAAATTTCCTAAGCTTCATTGCTTTCTCCCGTCTATAGCCAGGGAGTATTTTGTGCCAAGTAAGTACCTCAGATGGAACTTAAACTGAAGGACCCTCTTGGATTTTCGAGGCCCAGCATGCAAGAGATTTTGTTCATTAATTATTAATAAAATATAAATAGTACTCATACCTTCAGAATCACTTCAAACAAGAATGTTTTTCTAATTTCAAATTACCGGAATTCCTTTCTGATTTAAGAAAAATGTTAGCAATGTTAGAAATATTAGGCTTGGAATTTTAGGTTTTCAGTGTTTAGTCAGATTTGCTTTTATGAAGTTCTGAAAGGTATCTGATCCTTTCATTTTTGCTCGCTGAAATTGGAAAGATTGTTTTTTCAATCCTCTTGGATACTAAATCCACTGGACTACACACTAACAAAAACTATTGAAAAGTTCTTGTTTTCCTTTTTCTGAGGAAAATACTAAAAGTCAGCTGAAGTAGGAAAGTAAACAGCCACTTAACGAGTAACAGCAGAATTGTATTTAGCTGCACTTCTTTTACATCTGTGTTTGCATACACTCTCCCACACACATATTTTATTTATTTCATCATGATTATATACCTGTTTGAAGTCAGGATCTTCATGCTTGCATGTTTTCATGTTGCATCTTTCCACTGAAGGATAATCTGGCTCTGAACAGGATGTTTTTAAGACCTGTGTTTACAACCACTCAGATTGGTAATTTTGTCTACATATTTTGCTCTTTTAATCCACCAAAAGTAGCATTAATTCTAAAGGAAACTCTCCTTTTTGTAAAGTCCATTAATTGTTACATTCAAATTATTCAAAATTAGTAAATTCACTTCCAAGAATATATTCCTCTTTTACCATTTGCAATGCAAAATTAATTTGGTTGAAAACAAACACTGAAGACAGCCTCTTTAAGGCCCTGATTCTATTTTGCAATGCAGCCAAGACTGAACCATGTTATAACAGAATACCAAAACTTTGTCACAGATAAGACATTTTGGCATTTTCCACATGAAAATTCCTGTTGAGATTAAGATTCATCTTCTGCTGGAAAAAGAAAGGTAAGTGATCTTTCCAAGCTTTTTACATATGTGGGAAACACTAAATATGTCTTCCCTCATTTTCAGATAAGAACTGCTTTTAATCCTGTAAAGAAACATAATCTGGTACAACCTGGTACTTTAAAATAAGTGATTGGGAAGTAAAATCCATTATGGCTCAACACTCACATCTTTCCCTGATTTGGTGGAACACCTTGCAAAAAATTAGTTTATGGAAAGGTAATCCCAGAAAAATCCTTTTAAATAGTTGGGTTTTTTTCAAGGACAGAGGAAAATCCCAATGGAATAATAGGTTATAAATAGAATTAATGTATCGTGCAACATACATTTCTGCAAATAATTTCAGGAAATAGGTTTTATGGAAAGTCATCGGTGAATGAAAAACAAAGAAAAAACATCAAAGACTTAATTTGAGGAACCATTTGGTGATTTACACCATCATGCATAGCCAGTGTTAGATGTTATCTCAACATATTCTGTGGAAATAGACCCTCTTAGACTTTTGCTCTTTTTTATGCTCTTTTAGAGCATAAATTCCAATATAACATTCTTCCCCAGACAGTTTTAGTAAAGGTTATAACCCTCCAATAGGGAAAACTATCCTTGCCTGCTCTTCCTACCATAAGCAAACCTTCACAAGGCTGGAGGAAATGAGAATGCTCTGACAACAGGTGGTAAATGTTTAAAACAGGATAATACAGCTGTATTTTCTTTTCATCATATTCCTTGTTTTGTAATTTGGGTTGAATGGGTGAAAATAATTCCCATCTTAAACTCATCTCTTTCCAAGGCAGCATTTCTGCTTCTTCCTCCCCTTCTATTTCCTGCATGTTTTGTGGTTCGGAATCCCCCTCTCCCTCCACAGAGGCTGAAACCCAACATCCTCTGCTGTCTTCTAGTGACAGTAGTCAATTACCTAACTCAATGATTTTTGCAATAGCTTACTTTAAATAATTCCCCAGACAGAACAGGGGGGGGTATTCAAAAGCTGTGGAATGTAAGTAAATGGTAAGTAATGGTAAGTAAAATGAAGGAAAATGAATTTGAAAGATCTGTGGGAGAAATAGTCCTCTAGTAAGGAAGAGCTCCCACAAGTTGCAAGGGATATAAAGTTTTTCTTACCTTCAGAGACAGCTGCTTCTTACCCTTGCACAACAGGACAAATTCATTAAGCTTTGATCTCTGTGTGAGGATCACCAAATTTTTAGAATCTGTTTTGCACAGAGGAGTATGTTGTTATAAAATGTGTATCACTGTAAAATGAAGCATAGCTAAAAATATTTTGTAGAGACAACATTCATGTTCACTTTACACTGATGGGCGTAGGAATAGAAACAAATATAATCACTCTTGGTATGGTTCTTTTCTATAAAGTATTTAAAATTATGACTTTATGATACTCTAAATTTGCCATTTATATATATACTTCATTTTTCTATATTTATAGTTAATATATGGAATATCAGTTATACACTCGCATATACAAATAAGGCATTTCTATTATTACTGAATGCATACATGTAATATACCTGTTTATGTAATATAGCTGACTATGTATACATCACTGTGGAAAATGTAAGAATTTTTCCCTTTTATTTTTTGCATGCTCTCTATGTCAAAATCTTCCCACTATCATAATTGTTGGTGCGTTGGATTTATTCCCTTCTGAGATAATACTGGTTTTTTTCAGCTGCAGGAAATAACAGAATATCTGTAGGACAGGTTACTCCTCAGACTGATACCCAACAACATTCATTACCTTTTGGTACTTCAGGGCCTCAGATTCAGATAAGCAGAAAGTAAACAAATTAAGATTCCCTTTGTTGGTTCATATGGCATACAAGAGCATTACCTAGCAAAGCCAGTGGCATTAATAAGTATCCAGTGATGCTAAAGCTAGCTGACTGCCTTGCAGATTTACTTCAAATAATACCAGTTGTGCTTTTAAAAGTATGTCAGGTATATTGCTTAAGACAAAAAATAGGAAAGAAAGTAGCAGTTGATCCACGTGTGCATCACTGCAGCAGCTGAATCCAAATTTTACAGAGGTTAGGTAATTGTGCATTAACAGTTGCAGTTAAGGAGATTTTTTTTCATGTTATCAAAGATATTTTTTGGCCTTTGAAGGATCTTTGGGATCAGCAGAACATACTCATCCCACCTGACTGATTTTAGCTACTCCAATCCTGGCCCTGATTTTAGTTACCCTACCTGTAATGCTATTGTGGAAGTTTTCTGAAGAAATTCTTTGTGAGCCAGCTAGAGCATGAAAATAACATAAAGACCCTTCTTAAAAATTGAGACACACTCCAGCTTAGTGCATTTTACTCAGTTTACATATGTATTCAGATAAATGTAGTAGAATGTCTAAAATTCTGCCATTTTAATCATTTTTTCTGACATTAGTTTAGATTGCTTCAGATGCGACTGCCCAGCTGCAGCAGGTAAGAGGTACAAGAGAGATACAGCGGGCAAGAGAGATTTCATATCCAAGTCAACAGCATTCTGAATTAGAGGCATCCCAAAGAGAGAGGCAGAAGTTCAGCCAGTTGGTATGGGACATATGTCAATATGAGTTACACCCTAATAATCCTCGTCTTTGTTTATGGAGTTTATTGCGACTTGCTTATACATTGTGTATTCTGAGTAAATCTGAAAGACCCTAACTTTCCCTACCACCTCTGAAAAATATGACAAGTGGTCTATCAGGCAGACAGTGAATGGCAAAGAAAGTAAGGAACCTTCCCACAATTTTATACGTAATAATTCCACTCTCTGATGGTCTGCATGAGTTACCCAGCCTCTCAAGTTACTAAAGCCTTATGAGAGTCTAAGGGGCAATTCTACAATTCTACAATTCAAAAGAAATGCTTTGAACTCAAGTAAATATAAGAAACCACTTGTGTGTGTCCCTGAAATGCAAAGTTGTAGACCTTTGGGACAGTATCAATATTTTATACTGTTACCTAGAAATCCTCATTTGGCCATTGTTCAAGGTGAAGTCCTGGACCAGATGGATATTTGCTGTCATCTGTTACAGCAGTCCTTTATGGTTGAAATTGGAATACATTTATCTTCTGCTGGAATAGCTTGAACTAATATATATTTGATTTTCCCAATCACTTATTGTGCTTACAAAATGAACGTTCCAAAAATGTGTCTCCTCTTTCTTCGTATCCATTTCTTTTCTTGGCCCATACATGAGCAATAGAGCACACACACTTTTCTTAAAAAAAAAAAAAAAAAACAAACAAAACAAAACCTAGGTTTTCTAGCATGTACACATGCTATTTCCTCATATATGTTTATCTTCAGCCCAAGCCATTACTCGTAACTTGCTACGGCAATTTTTGTGACTTTGAACTTGTGTGTTATGGAACACAGAAAGGCTGTTTAATTTTTAGAATAGTCCAGCAATCTGACCTAAATGAAAATCTAGTATAATATGTTACTTCTAGAGTTGTCTACTTACTTCTTTTCATACCCTCAAACATCTCTTCAAAACCAGACCCTAACAAAGAGAATGATCCCTTTTATTCCCACAGGATTCTTACCAGTAACTGCTGGTTCGTTCTTTGTGAACACACTTAACCACGCAATATCTAAAACAGAAAAATAGAAGAGATTTAACAAATATGTGGAAATAGATAGGTACTTTCTTCAAATTAAAAGACGTCACAAACAGATTAAGTTTTAAAACATAATCTGAGAAAGAGCATGTAATAGCAATAGGCATCAGGTTTCATTTCCTGCAGGTGTCTGAATTCATATAACCCCATAAGACTTTACAGTTAGGCTTGTAAGCAGGTGCCCTGAAGTCTGAATGCTGAGTCTAATAAATGTAGTGATTGATTAACTGTCTTTTGCAAAAGAGAACACACCTGAGAAAACAGAGGTAGGCAATGAGATGTAAGGCCTAAAGAGAAGCCTGAAATTTTTTGGCGGCAGATGCGAAATGTGCAATATTGGAAAGTAACGGGCAGCAATACCATGGGGTGTCAGGCTTTTCTAACACCAGCCAGAATCATACAGCCAGCTGCCTGGGGAAGGCATCACCCACTTCACATCCAGGTCACAAATATCCAGGTTACAGCTGGTTCCTAATATGGCTTAATGTTGACTTAACTATATCATTAATACATGTTTGTGGTGCTTGTGTTTACATATACAAGAATGTGACACAGCACAACATTTTTTTTTTCTCTTTCTTCCAGGAACATCATTATCTTCTACATCAGGATTGTCACGCTACGAATCTATTCACAAACTCCTTCTATTGTATACCTATACAGGTTTTGGATCTGTTCACAAATTAGCAATACTAATTGTTTGAGTTACTTCAAAGTCCTATGAGGTTATCAAGTAAAAGATAAAAGGAACACTTCAAAAGATATAAAAAACACTTGAATACCTTATCAGTGCAGTTGTCATTATTCACAATTTAATAGAATAAAAATAACATTAATTTAGTTTATAAATATATCAAACAAGCCTTTTTGTGTCTTTATTTGAAGCATATAAAATAGACTTCTCATTCCTGAAAAAACTGGGGTTCTCTAATAAATAAAGTTTCACTAAGTTGATAGCTATCTTACAAATTGCAACTTTTTCCTGTATTTTGGCTAGAAATATGGTTTATTGTTTTTTATCCCTCCTTTCACATCTCTGGAAAATATATTATTCTAGATAATTGCATTTGTTGTTATTTGCCTCTTCTATACCCAAAGAATAACCTCTGACAACTACTTCTGTGATGTTAGTTGTGCTACTGCTTTTGGTGTCAACTAGAGAAACCCCATGTAAGATAAAAGAAGAGTTCCATGAAAAATAAAATAATCTCACAAATTCCAAAATCTTCTCTATTTTGCCCTCGTCTTTGAGGATTACCTTTGTTTTCAGTCCCTCAATAGCCAAGTATCTAAACTTCCTATTAACAGAAATGGGAGTGAATGAAATAATCTTCTTATAATTTAAATATATTATGTACCTACTTTAAACTGGAATAACCAAGCCCCACCTCTCTACAACCTCCTTTCAGGTAGCTGTAGGGAGCGATAAGGTCTCCCTTCAGCCTCTTTTTCTTTGGGTTTAACAACCCAGTTCCCTCATAAGATTTGTTCTCTAGACCCCTCACCAGCTTCTTTGCTCTTCTCTGGACACGCTCCAACACCTTCAGTGTTTTGTTGTGAGGGGCCCAAAACTGAACACAGTACATAGAACAGTACATTCAAAAATGTCCTGCAGTACTAAACATATGGTTAGTGAGTTTTGGTATAAAAAGCATACTACCTTCATGGGATTGTGAATCCTTGGTGCATATTTCATGATGGCCGTCTTCATCTATGTCAAAATGCACTGTTTTTGAATCTTCAGTCAGTATATAGCATTTCAGCGTTTGTCGTAAACTAAACGCTAATCAAAAAATGAGTTGTAATTAATTTTACTAGCAACAGAAAGATGGTAAGATTCCATAATAAAAAGATCAACTGTATTTTTATTGCAGTCTTCACTTTATAATCTATGTATTTTTGAACTATGAACAGTACAGAAATGATACAGTGGGCTGGTTTTGGTGGTGCAGAGGGCGAAAGTAAAGATTCCTTTGATTGGAAGTTAATCTCAGAGAGTAGAAAAGATGGATGCTGAACAATTTGGAGAGTTAACATGTGCAAAAACTTGAGCTTGAGCAAACGGCATCCAACCCAAGAGCCTGAGGGACAGCGTAAGAAGGGGGCTGTGGGCAACCTGCAGATACCTGTGTTGAAAGAGACTAATGGGGACAGAATGAATTTGAACACGAGAGAGGGGGCCTGAATTAGCAGTTGGCTGGTGAATGAGCAGTCTTACAGTGGGGCAAAGAGCCCTGTGGGGAGCCTGAGCCAAAGTAAGGTTGTGCACAGGAGCCTGCACATGAAGGCAGATGTGCAAAACACAGAATGAAGTTATAAGTTTTCATTCTGAAGAAGAGGTGTTGTAGGGAACGTATCTCTGCAACATACTGTCTCTAGACTAGTTTCCTTTATTTTATAGGTAAGTACTTGCCTGTTTCACAGTTTTGCACTTTGAAAACTGCATTTGTGTACAGACAAGAGTTTTAGCTTTGAGTGAATATGGCTGCCTAAAATAGCTGCTATTTATTTTGCATGGCATCTCTTGCTGGATAAAATCAGATCTTCATAGCTAAAAGCTGTCGGGAGGGAAAAAGTTCCCCATCACTACTGAGCACAACTGTGCTGCTCTGAATGCCAGAAGGATGTTAAGTCCAACCACTTGGATGTCAAACACCTACAGAATAGCGCTATAAGGCACAACTTTGATTACCTTAGGCTGAATGTTTTTTTACTGGAAGAGGTTTGCAACTTTCAAATGCGGTTAAGACATTTCTGAAACCACACAGACCTCCAGGGTATGCTGTTAAATAAACACTCCTTTCTTTGCCAGAACAGCTAGGCAAGTAAAACAACAGGTTACTTAACACGCACCAGCAGTGACATAACGTTCTGGCACTGAAAACTTCTTAACTCATTTTATATTGATGTACCTCCTCTGAAACATCTGTATTTAAGCAGACATTTTGAAAAAAAAAAAAATAGTCGTGTCCGAGAAGCTTTCTTTTCACCCTGTTTAAGCTGGGCAGTAACTTTGCACGAACAGTCAAGAAAAGAGGTGGATGATGCACACCCCGACAGCTCAAGTCACACCCTCCAGAAGTGTCAAGCTGGTCTGTGCACGGGCAAAAAGCTTCTCTTCAAAGGCCTGGCAACTAAGGCTGTCAGGCTTCCCGAAAAAAGAATGGGCTGTTTGAAGGAGCAACAGGACAGCAAAGAACAGTTATCAATACAACAAACCCGTTAAAATTGTTATAACAGTTATAGTGTAAAAATTCTACTTGTAACTAGAATTATAAGAACTACTACTGTGTCCAAAATAAAAGGGTTGATGGCCCTGTGATATTGCTCACTCTTTTCCAGGGAGCTACAGGTCCTAGTTTGGTGGTATGAAGAATCTAATGTCGCAATTCTGAGGAGTATTTCTGTGCTAGTTGTTTTAAAGGAAGCTTTCATTTTTTTTGTTCCTCCAGGTACCTTTATTTTTGAAATCGTCATAATAAGCTGTTCCAGATACTTAATTTGGTTGGATTCTGCATTGGGTTGGAATAATCTTTCCGAGATTACAAACATACCTGTGACTCAGGAAAGAGTTACCTGAGTTTCCAGGAGTTGTTTTCACAGTTCTCAGCAGAGATTGTGTCTTAACAGACTGCCTTTCATGGTGAGACACTTCATAGGGCTTTTTGCGGCCTGAGCGGAGCAACATTGCAGAAGCACTTCAGAAATCCTGATAACCTGGGTTGCCTCTCTTTTTCCTGTCCTAAAGAAGGAGTTAGAATTTGTCACATTACTTCATGTTTTGGTTGAGACACAGTTTTGAAAGAGTATAAGCAACAGTTAGAGGAAGCAGAATAAACTCAATAAATGTTTGACTGCTTTTATGACCCAAGTCTGTGTCTTGCTAGGCAAAAATGGTGTTTTCAGTGATGGTAAATCAATTATCTATCTACACTTCCACTATGATCCAGGTTATTATGGATATAGTTGTGTTGAAAGAATATTTTTTAAAATACTTCATCCTAGATAAAATATAAGCAGTTTACATGACTTCAATTTAATTTATTTATGCTTCTCAAATATAGGAAGCTAGCTAGACTTCACTAGCTGGATTGAAAAAATAATATTTTTTTTTTTCATTTGTTTCCAAAGAAAATAATGAGCTTCAATTTTGTTTGGTACCTTGGTGAATGAACCAAGTGAAGATGGTTATAATTTTAGCCCCATGCAGCTTTGCACAGAATAAGTAAATATCAGTTAAGCCAGAGAGATCATGGCTTTGACAGATCATGGCTTTGACACCAATGTAATGATTTGTGAATTCACGTGGTGGGGGGGGAGTTCCATCATCTGCTTTGGTTCAGTTCACTGATGCAGATTTTCACATTAAATATTTATGTGAAATGGTAGAAAAGGAAGACTTCTGTCCCTGGCAATTCTCTTGTTACTAGGCTACAAAGACTAACTGAGGCTCTTTTTCACTCTCTTTGGCTCTTTAGTTATAACTAAACATCCAGTTAGGCCATTGAAAAGTGAAACATTTATTAGAATTAACTTACTCTTCCCAATAAAGATAACTTTTAGTCAGAGGCAGAAAACAAAGGATGGGTCTTCTTCATCTTGCTGAAATTGCTTTATCACTGAGCACACTAAATAAAAGAGAAGACCCTTTGTGGTTTTCCACAAAGTCCTAACTGGGAACTGACCTCTACAAACATCTAACTGAATCAGGCTCTGCAGAGTATGTGAATGGTAATATCAGCTTGTGGATCCTGAGAGACATTAGTGTGCTAGGTGTTCAGCCTTAGCAAAACATCAAGACTTCATTAGATCTAGGATGCTCAAAGCCGAATATTTAATCCCTTACAGAACATTTCTACTGAAATTACAAGTGCAATTCCAGTTTGGCTGCACTCGATCAGAAATTCTGAAGATCCAAATTCCTGATTTTTATACCCAGTAAAGCAGCCAGGGAATTGTTTTCTGCTGGATTTGCCCTTCATATACTGCAGTTACTAATGCTGATGTTGCTAAGTTAGTCCTAAATGCTTAATATAAGGATTTTTTTTAGAACTAATGTGATGTCTTGCAAACCATCTAGATTCAGAGCCTTGCATCTGCATAATATACACCCACTGCTGTAAGACAAGAAGGAGGATGATTACAAGCCAGGACCCCGAAGAATTCCTGAAGAGGGAAGGACAATTCAAATAAATTTTTGAGAAACTTGTTTAGGAAATGAATAAATTTTGGGGAAATTTTCTCTTGAGAAAGATAATGTCGAATTTCTGAAGGACTGTACTTAAAGTTTCATGATTCTAGCTTGTTTGAAGAAGTAGACAATGGACAAGTCTATGCTAGAACGTCACCTCTGTTAGCTCTCCAGAACAAAGAAAGCTCTTTACAACAAATAACAAAAGTTTTCATAGCCTGAATTTTCTCACATGTTCCTTAAGACTGAGTGACATAAAAATACTCCCATTTCAATAAGCTTTTCCTTTCATGTCATGTTCTTACACAGATGTCACCTACTCCCAGTATTTTAATTCTTACTCATCATTGTAAATGTTGTCTCTCCCTATGCCTATTTCTTTGTTTTAATGTCCTTCATGCCTGTTTCTTCAGTTCTTTTCTCTCTTCTGCAAGGTATATGCTACTTGAAGAGGGCTAGGAAAATCTGAATACTGTTCTTGGCTGCATATATAGTCAACCACTGTTTGTTTTGGAAACCTGAGTGTTTTGGTTTGTTTCACATCTAAGCTAAGTATAAGGAAAACCGGAAGCTCAAACTATAGATCTTTAAACTGCTGAAATCATATATACTTGAGCATATTTGTGGCCAAGGATAACAAGATCACTCTAAAAGCACAGGGAGTTTGAAAAATTTTCCTGCTACATATATCATACCAACTTATTTATATGAAGGCAGCAAAGAAAATCTGTTATACTGCTTCTTTTGCTGCCTTAGTGATCTCAATTGTTCTTAGACATCATTCTCTCTTCCACTTACACATAGATATATCTGATCATAAAATTAAATCAAATTCAGTACATGAAAACAGAATTTAAAATTTTGGAGTTAATTCACATGATGGTATGCTCCAAATATTATTTCATACCACATTGCTACATTCATAACAAGGTATCACTAAGACTGTTAAAGGATCAAATCCGTTTTTGTCGAATGTATTGGGTTGCAGCTGACAGTCCTGTGTCCAAAGAACAGAAGTAATTCCTCCAAGTTTGTTACAATTTAACAGTAGATTAAAAAGAAATTTTGCTATCCTACAGCTAATAAATAATGGGGTTATTGTCTCTTTCAAATCAGACAGACTTTACAAAACCAGTACTCTAAACAAAATATAGGATTATATTAAAAAAAAAGACATAAATTAGATTAAGGAAGAGATTTTAGAAGAAAACTTTAAAGTCAATTGAAAAAAAAATTGCTATTTTTTAAAATCTAGACAAGCAGTCTGATAAAACAAACTTAAGATTGAAGCTTATTGAAAACCCTGCTGTAATCTTCCACTTTTGCTTACCTTATTTTGGCTCCTATTGTCTCTGCTGGGATACTTCTACTCAGCAGAATGCTAGAAGCAGCTCTGTTACAGCCAATTTATTGCCTGAACACATGGCAGGAAGCCAAAGCTCCGAATAAAAGAATTCTGACGTGGACATAATCTTTTAGATCTGTATGTTAACTTACTCACATCAATATTCTCATGGCTCTAACTGCTGTGGGAAATCAAGAAGTGTTGGAAATAGTAAAAACAAACTTTTAAACTTTCGTTTCTCTGAGGAGACATGAAGCTGCCTTTCCTGGAACTGCATGCGGATTTTGAGCCAGTAGTTCTGTATCTTGTCTGAACATATTCATAAATACTATTCTTATATTTTACGTCACTGATACTGTTCTTGCTATCAGCCATTCCTTCCAATGCTTATTCAAGGGCAGATGCTGGGTTTATGGCAAAGTAGATATATTAAAAGTAGGAGTGTAGCCACAGTTGCAGAGAGCTGGAAACAAGTTCAGTGCTTAAACATTTACCCAGCTGTTAAATGGGCTTTGCAGGCATTGTGCCAACAGCAATAGTTGGACTGCTTGTGACATGAATGAACTCGTTTAAAGCGGATGTGCAACATTTCTTTACTCATAATGCCAAGATAATATTTTCTATCATACAAGAACTGGCTCTTTCATTATCGCATTTGGCATGTTCAGTTGGCTTTATCTATCCACCCACGTATATTGCTAACCCTTCACTCACCCATTGGTCCTCTCTATTCGTACACATTAAATTTGTATTAACAAGTGAGCCTCCCATTTTAAAAGGAGTGAATCACATTTTTATAGACGTCACTGAAATAATATTTTTATATACCTCAATGAAACTCCTCTAAAAAGCCATGACTTCATTTTTGCAGAGTTTTCTTAAAAACAAGGAGCTACTGCTTTCATCTAGAATTCATATACTGTGTCAAAAATGTTCTGTATTTTAACTGTGTTTGGTTTAGGACAGGTCTTTTTTCGTTTGTTAAGCTCTCACTAGACACTGGCCCAGGTCAGTAGAAAGACTTTGTTAAAAGATGCATTTAATGACAAAGCAATGTGAAACTTCGAAATCTCAAGTGTTTGGCTATTACTCAAGCAGACTGAAAAATGTGAGAAGGATTCTAAATGTCATAATGAGAAATGTATGATGCGGCAAAAGTATATATTTTTTTCTTAATGCGGTTGTTCAGAGGCTACATGACATCACGATCTGATGATGCTGCAGGTTCTGGTAAGGGGCAGATGGATCCAGATGGCAAGATGTAGATTGCATGTCGTGTGAACCATCCTTAACAGGCTGTATCTCTTCCGCTGCTCTGAGGTAACATTCCAGGTCTGTGATGCATCTGTGGTCCCTACAGCCACAACACAGAACAAATGACCAAATGTATGAAAATTACAATGCACTACACCAACACTACTGTACATTAGATACATAATAACATATGCCATCAGCAGCCACAAAAAGAAACAACCTTAAACTGATTGCAATTGATACAATCTGGGTAGATTAAGCCATGTAAATAGTGAGAATGCATCCAAATTGCCGCTGACCTTTCATCTTAGCCTTTACAGTTTATTTTAAACTTTTTAATTGTCTAGACTAATTTACTATGTCATTGAGGATTTCTGTATCTGAAGGGTCTTTCTAAATCCACATCAGTTGTGGTCTTCAACAATAAGTAGAGAATTTTAGTTTATTGTATCCCAAATTCAGTGTTGGTAGAAAGCTCAGCAATAAACCAGCTATGCAGCACCCTCTCTGACCAGCAACATCCATCCAACACCTACCATCAGCAATAACAGCTTCAAAAGCAGGAACAACAAATGGGGATTTTGTGTAGCTCATGAGGAAAAATATCAAATTATCCTGGGAAAAGTACTCTTAGGGGGAACCACCTGCTCCACTGGAGAGGGAACTGGCGGAGGACACTTCTTTGCATACTTCTCTTCCTGGATGGCCACTGGGAAGCGTTTTCCATTTTCTCTCCATCTCTGTATCTCTCTCTTCCTCCCCCTTTGCCTTTTCTCTCTCCTTCTTGGCACCTACGCCTCCCTTTCTGTTTCCTGGGGATTTCCCTTTCTTGGATTCTCCAAAAAGCCTGTATTTGTGCATGGGATTGCCCAATCCAGGCGCAGGACCTTGCACTTGGCCTGGTTGAACTTCATGAGGTTTGCACGAGCCCACCTCTCAAGCCTGTCCAGGTCCCACTGGATGGCATCCCTTCCCTCCAGTGTTTCGACCGCGCCATACAGCTTGGTGTTGTCAGGAAACTTGCTGAGGGTGCGCTTAATCCCACTGTCCATGTCACTGACAAAGACGTTAAACAGCACTGGTCCCAGTACAGACCCCTGAGGAGTCCCACTTGCCACTGGTTGCCACTTGGACATCCATCTGTTGACTGTGGCTCTTGGAGTGCGACCATCCACCACGTAGTCCATTTGTCAAATCCACGTCTCTCGAATTTAGAGACAAGAATGTTATGCATGAGTTTGCACAAGTCCAGGTAGATGATGTCAATTTCTCTTCCCTTATCCACCAGTGCTGTAACCCCATCATAGAAGTACACCAAATTTGTCAGGCATGACTTGCCCTTGGTGAAGCTATGTTGGCTGTCACCAATCACCTCCTTATTTTCCACATGCAATGGCAGAGTTTCCAGGAGGATCTTCTCCATAAGCTTGCCAAGCACAGAGGTGAGACTGACCAACCTGTAGTTCCTTGGATCTTCCTTTTTTCCCTTTTTAAAAATGGGGGTTGTGTTTCCCCTTTTCCAGTCAGTGGGAACTTCACTGGACTGGCATGACTTCTCAAATATGATGAATAGTGGCTTAGCAACTTTATATTTCAGTTCCTTCAGGAACCCATAGATGCATCTCATCAGGTTGCATGGACTTGTGCACCATCAGGTTCTGTAGATAGTCTTAAACCTGACCTTCTCCTACAGAGGACAGTATCTCCCAGTGCCTGCCTTTGGCTTCCGCGACATGGGCAGTGTGGCTAGAGCACTTGCTTGTGAAGACAGAGGCAAAAAAGTCAGAGAGAACCTCAGAACCTTCTCTATATATCAGGTAACCTGGTCTTCCATTTCCTTTGGAGAGGACTCATTTTCCCTAGTCTTCCTTTTATCATTGATGTATCAGTCATCCCTGACCAGCTTTAACTCTATCTGGGATTTAATTTTCCCAATCTGATCCCTGGCTGCTTGGCCTCATCCACTCAGTCTTCCTGGTCAGGTGGCTTATAGCAGACCTCCACTGTATAGCAGACCTGTTCCTGCCCTCCCATTAATCTTGTCCCACAAGCTCTCAGTCAACTTCTCATCCACCCCCAGCCAGAGCTCCATGAACTCCAGCTGGTCATTGACATAGAGGGCAACAGCCCCTCTTTGTCTCCCCTGCCTGACCTTCCATCCCAACATTGCAGCCCTGCAGGCATGCACACCTCTCTAACTCTCTTGATTGTTCCCCATACTACATGCATTTGCACAGAGGCATTTAATTTTGGCCCCCAATAAAGCTGGCAATGTGCACTTCCAATCCAGAAAACTGATGATATCTGGGGCCACATCAAAAGCATCATGGCCAGCAGCTCGAGGGAGGTGATTCTGCCCCTCGACTCCACTCTCATGAGACCCCACCTGGAGTACTGTGTCCAGTTTTGGGGCCCCCAACATAAGAGGGGCATGGACGTATTCAAGTGAGTCCAGAGGAGGGCCACAAAGATGATCAGAGGGATGGAGCACCTCTCCTGTGAAGACAGGCTGAGAAAGTTGTTCAGCCTGGAGAAGAGAAGGCTCCAAGAAGACCTTATAGCAGCCTTCCAGGTACCTAAAGGGGGTCTACAGGAGAGATGGGGAGGGACTTTTTATAAGGGAGTGGAGCAATAGGGCGAGGGATAATAGTCTTAAACTGAAAGAGGGGAAATTTAGATTAGATATTAGGAAGAAATTCTTTACTGTGAGGGTGGTGAGGACTGGAACAGGTTGACCAGAGAAGCTGTGGATGCCCCATCCCTCAAGATGTTCAAGGCTGGGCTGGAAGGTGCTTTGAGCAACCTGGTCTAGTGGGAGGTGTCCCTGCCCGTGGCAGGGAGGTTGGAACTAGATGATCTTTGATATCTCTTCCCAACCATTCTATGATTCCATGATTCTGTTACTCCATCTCTCCCTCTTCTTTCTTTTTTTTTTTTTTTGTTTTTCTTTGGGTGGAGGGGGGGTTGTTGTTTTTTTTTCACATTTTCCTAACTTCACCATTAGAGTCGATGCGTTTCAACAACTGCAGACCCTGCTAACGACTGTATCCCTACAGTTACAATGCTAGGTCCAGTCCATCACTGGACATATCTTCAAAATTTTCTTCTCATTCCAATTAGTATCTCATATATAATGTATATGGAGACTTAGGATGGTGGCATGGAAAGTGACAAGGAAAACAACTGCCTAAACTGATTTTGGGGTAAAGGGATCTGCAAAAAATCAGTATTTGCAGCAGTAAGGAGAATAAAAAAGTTTCCTTCTTCTAGTACCACATACTATTGCACAAATAATATTATCATATGGCAAATACCAGCAACTACATTTTATTGGCCAGTTAATTTGTGAACAATTTGCAGCAAACCTAACTCAGCTGGAAGCTGGAACAAAACTGAAACAGTGGACTGTAATAGAAAAAAGATGAGGTATAAAAACTTATTTCTAATTCTGACTCGTCTATTGCCAGATTTCCAGGGAAAAGTTAGATCACAAATATTACTGTTCTGAAGAAAGGCTATCCAAAACATTTTTGTTAGAGAACACAGCTTATATTTTCAGTATACCTGAACATATATTGCTATTTTGAAGTTCCTCTTTTCCTTCACATTGAGGTCTTTCTCTCCCGAAGGCATGAAGATCCCAAACTGAACATATTTAGCAGCTTACAGAAACAAACTGACACAGCAATCTATCAACACATTTTTTTTTCCTTGGAAACGGTGAGGTTTTTTAATATTCCAAGAACACTTTAACATGAGCATGTAACAGTCAGCTTTATCTTACTTCACATCCTGTTTACATGGCATGCCAAAGACATGTATAGGACTAAACTGAGCCTGCTGTAGCCTATCTATTGCTTCCAGTACTTCCAAACTGTCATTAAATAATCCTGCTCTACTGTACA